GGACGTACATAAGCGCATGCACGTAGTGAAGATGAAGTATGGAAATGACTTCGATGCGCTGCCGATGGTTGCGGCCGATATTGCCGAGCTCGCGGGCGTGCTTTGCTTTGACGAGTTTCAGTGTACGGATGTAGCCGATGCAATGATCCTGCGACGGTACGTGTGCTCTCTACGGACAGGATCTTATCAAAAGCCCCAGCTGACAAAATTCAATAACCAGGCTTCTCGAGATCCTCATGTCCCACGGCGTCGTTCTCGTTACCACATCCAACCGTCATCCAGACGACCTGTACAAAAACGGCATCCAACGTGAATCCTTCATCCCCTGCATCAACCTCCTCAAGACCGATTTGAATGTTATCAACCTCAACTCCCCAACAGATTACCGCAAAATCCCCCGGCCCCCGGCTGCGGTCTACCACCACCCGCTGGGCGAGGACGCACAGCAGCACGCGGACAAGTGGTTTGAGTTCCTGGGCGACCCTATCAATGACCCGCCGCACCCAGACTCGCAGATTGTCTGGGGCCGCGAAATCAAGGTGCCCGTGCCAGCGGCAAGGCCGCGCACTTCACCTTCCAGCAGCTCATCGGCAGTGCGACAGGCGCGGCCGACTACCTCGAGCTTGTCCGGCATTACGATGCGTTCATTGTCACGGACGTGCCGAGCATGAACCATACCCAGCGTGATCTGGCGAGACGCTTTATTACCTTTATCGATGCGGTATATGAGAGCAGGGTGAGTAACGAGCAACGTCCCTGTTCATTGTCTTCTTTTAGTCATGCAGCCGATTAACAATCCACATCAACAGGCCAAACTAGTCCTCACAACCGAAGTCCCCCTAACGAACCTTTTCATCTCCGAAAACGACGTAAAGAAAACCCTCAAAGGCGACGGCGACCACTCAGATCTCTCCGACGCAATGCGCAACCTGATGGACGACCTCGGCATGTCTGTCCAAGCGCTGAAGAACACGTCTATTTTCAGTGGTGATGAGGAGCGGTTTGCGTTTGCGCGTGCGCTTTCCCGTCTTTCTGAGATGGGAAGTAAGGAGTGGGTGGAGCGTGGATTGGGGCTTGGAAACACGCCTGCACAGAATAAGGAGGAACACGACGCTTGGCAGAAGACGAGGAGTCATTGGAGTGAGGATAATATGTAGATTATGCTTGTCCTCTTTGCCTTTCTTTTTTGGTTCAGACGCTACATTGTGCTATAGAGAGATACCTGTGCACATAGATCGAGTTTGGCGTATATAGCATAGCTTTTGGAATTATCATCCCTATGGATTGTTTAAACAACATATTTCCAAGGTTGGTACATAGATCTGCCTTAATTTAATTCTCCAAGCCAGTTCCCCACGATACATCCGTATATTTGATATATTTGAAATACTCGGACATGATTTCCACTCTGATATCAGGTGACGTCACACTTCTGGTTCTCCAGGATAATCCAAGTCCACTAAGAAGCCCGAATCCAGTCATAAATTCACGTCATTGGCCACCTGCAATTCGACGTGACCCCACTATCCAAGTGCTTATGCCTTATATTGCCAGTGGGAACTCGCCATGATCGACCACCCAGACAGCACAGGCAAAGGGTAACAAGCTATATAGCTCCACCTCCGTGGCTGCAGGGTACTGCCCCGCCAATGAAAAGGGTGCAATTCGCAATACCTCTTGTCTTTCTTTACTCCCTTACAGGTTCTCCTGTCGGCATTGGTTGGTAAAGCGCCCGGGTTATGGGGGTAGGTCATACTATGGTCATTCTTGCAAAGCGGCTTACTCCAGGCTGGACTTGATGACTTGGGTATCCGCTTTATATAGTAGTACAATTCCATTTCGTTTGTAGATGTAACTGGGGGAATTACATCATTGAGGTCGTACTTGGGGGGCTGCGCAGTGATCAGCTTGGTTTATATATATAAAGTGGGAAACACAGCTTGATACATACACACTTCGTCTACTCTTTCCACCTCTTGGTATCATTGGTACCAACCACTCATACTATGGCAACCAATCCAAACTCCAAGACCGCAGATGGCAAATATGCCGATCTACAAAAGGACACCGTCGACATCCAGGACAAGCAGCACATGACAACCGACCATGGCGTCAGAATCTCCAACCCAGACCAATGGCTCCGCGTTGTAGACGAAAAGAAGACCGGGTCCTCACTCCTAGAAGACCAAATCGCCCGTGAGAAGGTACGTGCACGCCCACATCCATCCATCCACACATACACCAATCTATATCCAGACAAGCAACTAACCAACACTAGATAACGCGCTTCGACCATGAACGCATCCCAGAGCGTGTAGTTCACGCGCGAGGAACAGGTGCCTTTGGCAAATTCAAACTATACGAGAGCGCCGAAGACGTAACAACCGCCAGGGTCCTGACCGATACCAGCCGGGAGACGCCGCTGTTCGTGCGGTTCTCGACTGTGCAGGGTAGCAAGGGCAGCGCGGATACGGTGCGCGACGTGCGCGGGTTCGCCATCAAGATGTATACCGCGGAGGGAAACTGGGATATTGTCGGGAATAACATTCCTGTCTTCTTTATTCAGGACGCGATCAAGTTCCCTGATGTTATTCATTCTGTTAAGCCCGAGCCGCAAAACGAGGTGCCGCAGGCTCAGACTGCGCATAATAATTTTTGGGATTTTCAGTATATGCACTCGGAGGTTACGCACATGAATCAGTGGGTTAGTATCTCTTGTTCCTGTTTGGGTCGTTGTTGCTGACGCGGTTCGTGGCAGATTATGTCCGATAGAGCTATTCCGCGGTCCTTCCGGATGATGCAGGGATTCGGCGTGAACACCTTTTCCTTGATTAACAAGGCCGGCAAGCGTCATTTCGTCAAGTTCCACTTCACCCCAGAGCTAGGTGTGCACTCGCTGGTCTGGGATGAGGCGCTGAAGATCGGCGGCCAGGATCCCGACTTCCACCGGAAAGACCTAGGGGAGGCGATCGAGGCAGGACACTTCCCGCGCTGGAAGTTTGGCATGCAACTCATGCCCGAAGAGAAGGTCGACAGCTTCGAGTTCGACCCTCTAGACGCCACGAAGGTCTGGCCCGAAGAGCTAGTGCCCATCCGTTACATCGGCGAGATAGAACTCAACCGCAACGTCGACGAGTTCTTCCCTCAGACCGAGCAGGTCGCATTCTGCACGAGCCACATTGTGCCCGGCATCGACTTCTCCGATGACCCTCTCCTTCAAGGCCGCAACTTCTCATACTTCGACACGCAGATCTCGCGACTCGGACCGAACTGGGAGGAACTACCTATCAACCGGCCAGTATGCCCATATATGAGCCTAGTCAACCGCGATGGACAGGGTAGACACCGCATCACAAAGGGAAAGGTGAACTACTGGCCGAACCGATTCGAGGCCAACCCGCCCGCGACAGCAGAACAGGGCGGCTTCGTCTCCTACCCGCAGAAGCAGCAGGGCGCAAAGAAGCGTGCGCTGTCCGATAAGTTCAAGGAGCACTTCAACCAGGCCCAGGTATTCTACAACTCGCTCTCACCGATTGAAAAGATGCACGTAGCGAAGGCATTCTCCTTCGAGCTGGACCACTGCGATGACCCTGTCGTCTACAAGCGCATGACAGAGCGTCTATCAGCGATCGATCTAGACCTAGCCAAGACCGTCGCGAAGAACGTCGGTGGTGACACCCCCCTGAAATCGCCAAAAGAAAACAAAGGCAAAAAAGCCAAGGGTCTGAGCCAGCTTGAATTCATGCCGGAGAAACCCATCATCGCGACGCGCCGCGTTGCCATCCTGCTTGCCGACGAATTCGACTTCAACCAGTATACCACGATGAAACAAGCTCTTAATGAACGCGGTGCGTTTGTTTTCACGATCGGTGCGCAGCGCCAGGGTGTGACTGCCGAGTCTGGGCAGAAGGTTATTCCCGATCACTTCTATTCTGGGGCGCGGTCGACGCTGTTCGATGCGGTCTATGTGCCTGGTGGAAAGCACATCCAAGCACTGTTGAAGAATGGAGTCTTTAAGCACTGGATCTCCGAGTCCTTTGCTCATCTTAAGGCCATTGCTGGTTCTAATGAGGCTGTGCCCTTTATTGAGGAGCGGATCGGGCTCCCTGAGGTCGAGGTTGCGCAGAGTGGTTCTCCGCTAAAGGAGTCATATGGTGTTGTTACGGGCTATGGAGATGCGGTTTCATTGTTGAAAGTGGGCACGGTTGGGCCTGATGCGAAGGGTTTGGCTGAGCAGTTTATCTGGCATATTTCTCGACACCGTAACTGGGCGCGTGAGTTGGATGGACTTTCTGACCAGATTGCTGCTTGAATTAGTGCTTTGTGTGAAACCAATTGGATATGTGACCATGAAATTGTATGAAAACTTTCTTTTGTTCAAGCCACATTTCAAAGGTTCTATCCCTTTTTGTAAAACAATCTCAATCACGAATTCAGAGTTGTATAGGTGGATGTCACATTCAGATGCTGTGATACAATGTGTAAGTGGTAAGCCTACATTCTTCGGCTGATCTGCAAAACAGAAACCCAACCCACAAGCTCCTGTAAGGCTGGGGTAATATTTTCCTGGTAGATTCCAGGCTGTCAAGGTCCTCTGGCAGATTCTTTTGGGCCTATGGGGCAGCAGCGCTTAGTAGTTATGCCTAACCCTCCCCATATAACATACCCCAACCGCCATTAGCAATGATACACCACAATTACAGAGACACCGAACCATTTAAGCCCAATGAATTACCAGAACCCCCTTTAGTACTCAATTTCCCCGCATACCGCATCCCCATATCTCATAGTCAAAGCTACCTGGTAGGCCACGTCTCGAGACGGAGAGTTACACGGCGGGAATGTTGGACCAGCCATTGCTTTCTGAACCAAGACTCTGGAAGGCAGAAGTATTCACAGTCTCGCAGCGGAAAAATGTCCCTTTCGTAAATGACAAGCTACTTTTCTGGACTTTTGTTTCGTTCCGTTTCATTTCCTTCTGATATTGAGTCTCCGCAGCCATGGGGCTTCATCTATCCCGCTCGACACGGCTGAGCGTTGTGATTGGCATATCAACATGTTTCTTTCTGGCTGAGATCTCACGTCGGTTGCCCTCTTTCTTGTTTTTGGTAGTAGTTGTTTTTGGTATGAACGTCGATGTGCTGATACCGGGCTAGTGGGCTTCTATACCCACTCTATTGCTCTGATTGCGGATGCTTTCCACTATGTAGGCGTTTTCAGGTGTGGAGTTGGAGATTTTGTTGGCTAACATACATCGCAGCTGAATGATTTAGTTGGGTTCGTTATTGCTCTTGTTGCATTGAAGGTACAGTGTGCTCGGTTGTGTGGTGGTTCTGGTGCTGATGTGAAATGTAGAAATCCGAGCGCAGTGACTCGCCTAAGGAACTTACTTTTGGTTGGCAGCGGGCTCAGCTGCTCGGTGCCTTTTTCAATGGTGTTCTTCTGTTAGGGTTGGGTATTAGTATATTTTTGCAGTCCATTGAGCGATTTATTGCCCTGCAACGTGAGTGCTATCGTCCAGACTGGATGTTGATCTCCTTTGATAATAACTGACGGTGCATCTAGATGTGCACAACCCCAAGATGATGTTCGCCATTGGATGTGTCGGATTGGGCCTGAATATTATTAGCGCAGTCTTCCTTCATGGTAGGGTTCGTGGGATCATTGTTCCATATCACGCTGACAGTATCCAGAACATGGACATGGACATGAACACAGTCGTGACCATAGCCTATCACCCACAATTGAGATCCCAGTTCTTCACCTCGGCGAAGAATGCCATGATTCTAGCACCAAGGTAGGCAGCAAAATTTTGAGAAATCCAACCAATGGATATAGGCTGACACAGCTTAGCATGACGATCACGAACATCTTCATTCCGAAAAGCATCATTGTGCAGACTATCATGGTGGCCACGACCACGGTGATCTGGGTATGATGGGAGTAATGCTCCACGTCATCGGCGATGCAATAAATAACCTGGGCGTCATGGCGGCCGGTCTGATTATCTGGCTCGCAGCACCCCATACTGGCCGATACTATGCCGATCCCGGTGTGAGCATGTTCATTGCCATTCTCATTATTCTGTCATCATTGCCTCTGAGTAAGTGTGGTTCCAGCAGAGATAGCTAAGGAAATAGCAAAGCTGACACTTCTCCAGTGCGCCGAGCCGGGATGATCCTGCTAGAAAGCGTGCCCACAGGAGTTGATATGGGCGATGTCAAACACGACCTAGAAAAGGTACTTCCACCTTCATGTCCACCACCTATTTATTTCATTCCTAACAATCACAAGATCAAGGGCGTCGACTCCATCCACGAACTTCACATCTGGCGCCTCAACCAACAAAAGACCCTTGCCTCAGTGCACGTTGTGGTGTCCGACGACTCTGTCGAGAATTTTATGAAGACAGCCCGGGTGATCAACGAGTGTTTCCACGCCTATGGAATCCACTCAATTACACTACAGCCCGAACTATTGGAAGTTGACGAGGTTTCCCATGAATCTTCCCGGTGCCAGGTTATCTGCGGGACGGTGTGCGAGCAGTTGACTTGCTGTGGATAAAAAAAAAGGAAGTATTATTGTCTTATGCCCATCATGTCAAGATGGCCAACTCTTCACATCAACCAGCCAAGTGGCCGAGCAGTAACTCAGCCATCTTATCTTCCTTGGTCTAGTGGTGATGATTTCCGCTTGTCATTAACACCGATAAGCGCGGGAGACCGGGGTTCGATTCCCCGAGGGAGAGGTTTCTTTTTTTCCCATTCTTTTTATGTTTTATTAATATGATTATTGAATTAATATGTAGTGGATAGTGTTTTTAAGGAGAGCCTTGTTAAGACTAGCATGTTAGACCTAATATGGATCTCGGCATAACAAAGGAATGCCGATTAAACCAGCCAGTTTACTTTGCAAATACTCCAAGATCAGGAAAATTGAGTTAAGTTCTGTAGCAAGATATAAGTCATACCTGGAACCAGCTTTTGCAATAGTGCGCTTTCACCAGTGTCGTGTTTTACAATCAGAGCTCTGAAAACTGGTTGATATTGGACTGAGTGCATCCTCGTTATTATCCTGAAGCTAAAGGAAGGACGGAACACGTTCAATGTCTCCGGATTATCTTCCTGGATATCGATGGCTTTCGCACTTGATTCCTGGGGAAATAAACGACCGAAATATATCAGCCGAGGTTCCTCTCAATTATACCTTGAAACCTCCACAAATTGCGGTATCGAAGTAGCTTGACTGCGTACAAAGAATAGCCTGGCGAGCTTTGAAAGTGATCCCTTGACAAACGGATTTTCATGCCAGAGAACTGCCCTCATAAGAGCGAGTCTCGCATCATGCCCTGAAAATCAGATCGCGCCGACGTCGTGTGTCTTTTCAGATGCCTTGATTTTAGTCTTCAAGAAAGAGGGAATGAAGAACCTATGTGGCCTTATGTTTCCAACCTCAACTCTTGTTGGACCCGTGGACATGTTACTATAACTATGACACCTAGATATCGGATGAACATGCAATGGCCAATACAAAGATCAAGAGGGGAATGTCGTAGCAGTGGTACCAGGGGTGAGCAGCTTAAGAACTTTTGTCAATTTTTGTCAACATTAGAGAGATGTATAAAGGTGTACAATATCACAACCTATCGATATTGAGTAACTCTGAACGGAATTACTCCGCGACCCATTCCTTAACCAATGAGAACTACATGGTTCTCTTCCCACACGTCTGAATGGAAAGCAAGTTCCGATTCCGAGATAGTGATGTAGATCACACAGATTGTGTGCGGGGAAATGTGTAGGACGAAGAACTGCCTTGTGTCTCTCTTTCCTCTTTATATATCCCAGTTTACCCTCCAAAACCACCAGAGGTATACCCCGCCCATATTCTATTTCAATTTCACTCTTCAATATGACTCGTAACTGGGAGAGCCAAGCGCAAAAAGGCAGAGACATCTTGAATAATTCCATTCCGAAACAATGGCTTCTCCGCGTCGACAGGCTGCCGCCAGTCTCGCAGGAAAGTGTGGTGGACTTCCCCCGGAAAAGCGGGTTGTTGAGTGAGCGTGAGCTTATCATCACTGATATGTCGGCCACAGCACTGGTGACCGAGATGGGCAATGGAAAACTGAGCGCGGAAGAGGTGATGGTTGCATTCTTGAAGAGGGCAGTGCTGGGCCATCAACTGGTGAGACCGGGGGACCCAGCTTTGTATTTTCAGCGTTGACAAGGTTGTTAGCTCAATTTCGCAACGGAATTTATGGCAGATGAGGCAATCGCTTGCGCCAAAGAGCATGATGAGTACTACAGACGCACTGGGAAGCTGGTCGGGCCTCTGGTAAGCCTATGTACCTACCTGTTGAAGTTTATAACGGCAAGATTCTAATGAAATAGCATGGCATACCAATCAGCGTGAAAGAACACATATCAATGAAGAACCGGACATGTAACACAGGATACGTAGCTTGGTGAGTAGAACTCCACCACGACAACCTACACTACTGACAAGCAAAACAGGGTTGATAAAGTCACCACGGAAGATGCCCTTCTCCTCCAACTCTTATCCAAAGCCGGCGCCATTTTCCATGTGCGGACCAACCAACCCCAGTCACTGATGGTACGTCGACACATTTCAAAGTAGTGGTATATCTCATAACTAACACCACCTAGCACCTGTGCTGCAGCAATAACATCACCGGCACGACATTGAACCCACTCAATCGCACTCTAAGTCCAGGCGGGTCCTCCGGCGGCGAAGGCGCCTCAATGGGCTTCCGTTGCGCACCACTAGGGATCGGAAGTGATATCGGCGGATCAATTCGCTGTCCCGCAGCATTTTGCGGTGCGTATGGCTTCCGCCCTTCCTCACTGAGGAACCCGGTAACAGGGCTTAAAGTTGCTGCTTCGGGCCAGGAGACAATCCGCGGGGTGGTGGGTCCGATGGCTAGTTGCTCGATTGAGGATCTAGAGCTGTTCCAGCGAGCTGTATTGGAGCAAGAGCCTTGGGATATTGAAACGTCGCTGATGCCTGTGCCGTGGAAGACGGCCGATCCGAAGCGGGATATGACTGTGGCTATTATGTGGGATGATGGGTATGCCGTCAGCCAAATATATGTCTGCTGACAGTGTGTGCTAATCCATTTTCAAGCTGCGTCCGCCCCCATCCACCTATCACTCGCGCTTTGCGACATGCCAAGGAGAAGCTGGTAGCGGCAGGTGTGAAAGTCGTAGATTGGAAGCCGTATAAGCATCAGCATGGTTGGGAAGTTATTGTAAGTGCCAATTGTTCTCTGGGCATGCACGCTATTACGCTAACATGGCTCAGCGCGCCCTATACTACCCTGATGCTGGCAGCAAGCAACGTGAGCTACTTGCCGAGTCGGGCGAGCCAGCACGCCCACTAACCGATTGGGCTCTCTCCTATAGCCAAAGCATGCCTCTTTCTCACCCGGAGACATGGGCCTTGCATGACCAGCGCGATATCTATAGAGACGAATACCACGCTCTGATCAATAGTCGCGGTGTTGACTTTATTCTCTCCCCGACATATCCTGCTGCCGCGGCGGTGATGGGTGAGTCGCAGTATTGGAATTATACTGCAATTTGGAACTTGGTGGACCTGCCTTCTGTAGTGTTCCCATCAGGGATCACTGTGGATCCTAAGGTAGATGTGTTGACGGAGGAGGACAGGAACTATGTTCCCAGGGATGAGGTTGATGAGAGGGAATGGCGGAAGTACCAGGACCCGGAGAGATACGAGGGCGCGTCGGTGGGATTGCAGATTGCTGGGAGGCGGTTCAAGGACGAAGAGACCCTAGCGGCGGCCAAGGCAGTCGAGGAGATTGTTAGAGAGAAAAGGCACTTGAAAATTTGAGGGGCTTGGGAATGGATACAAATTTCTTCGTTTTTTAACATTCACACGTCAGCTATGTCTCTTCGTAGCAAAGACCATAGCAAGCGGCGTAGCAGTTTTCACTTTCTTCCCCTCAAAGGCCCTCTCCATCTCATCCCAAAGCGGATTAATTTCCGACTCTGATACACTCGGTGTCGTCCAGGTAGATGAATAGCCCCTAAACCAGTCACAGTCCTGCTCATCCATCCAGTCCGCATCATCTTCCTCCCAAACAATCTCTTCCCCATCCCTAACCTGGCTCTCCCCGATTCGATCATTAATCTTAAAAGCCTCAATAGTCCCTTGAGCATTAACATACAACCTCTTCACCCCCTCCCAATCCTCCACGGGGAACCCTAAAGCCTCAGTCCCAGAATTCAAGATCCTCAGCGCATGATCAAGCATCGGGTCATGAACCTCACCCGCATAAAACGAACAAACAGCCACCCAGGCCCTCTGAGCCCTCTCGTTCCCAACAATGCGCGGATAATTATAATGTGTAATAACAAGCGTCCCACCCGCGCGTAATTCCCGTGCAAACTCCGCAATCGCAACATTCGGCTTCGTCCAGTGGATACACTCGCATGCCATGATAAAGTCGACCGAGCCAGACTGCACAGAGCTCCTTTCGGCACTTTCCTGCAGGAAACGGAACCTGGATTCAGGCAGACAGGATTCCTCAACTAGGACTCTGCGAGCGAGTGCGGTGTACCCGTCGTTCGGGTCTGAGACGATCACTTCGTTGAAGCGGGGAGCTAGACTTGATGAGACTATTCCACAGCCGGCGCCAATGTCTTGGGCAACGGACCAGGCGGCGTGGGACTTTTGGGAGTGGTAGGTGAAGGCTTTTTCGAAGAAGGAGGGTGGGTAGATTGGGCGAAAGGTGAGGTAGTCAGACCAGTTCACGCCTTGGTTGGGGTTGAAGCCGTATTCTCTGGTGGTTGCGGTTTCGCATGGCGTTCTTGACGTGGACATTTGGGAAATAATTGAATAGTTGGAGGTGACGATGATGATTTGGTTGTGCTAGGGGCAATAGGGGGTATTTATAGGTTGTCTAGTTCATGCGAATAGATATTATTTCGCCATTTGTCAATTGCAGAGCTGAACAGAAGTACGGGGACGAGAGAGTGCGTTGTCGTTCAGCCGAAAATGAGACCCGCTAAAGAATCTGGGTTGATGAACTGGACTGCCTCTATTCGTCGAACTTTGGGAATGTTAACGTCTTCCAATCATAGGGGTCCTGATGGAGAACTTCGATAAGATGTCGTGCGAGATCTCGGAGAACATCGGTCACGTCGATTTCGGATCTCGGATTTCTATCCCATAAATCCTCGTCTCTTTTATGTAGGCCTCGTCACAGCTAGATCCATCACATAGTTGTTTGAAATACTCCACATAGAATGTAACTATGCTCGAGTTCTTCTAACTTCAACTCCCTCGAGCCCTGCTGAACGGTGGGGCCGGTGGAGTCGTGGAGCTGCCCCTGTGGGTGATCTTCAATAGTGCCGCTGTTCGATCTCCTATAAAGGATAAAAGTGAAGATCCAAATGTCGAAACCAGTAGACATAGTAGTTTCTTTTCATTTTTATTCTCTATATACTTTCTATAGGTAAGCGGAGTTAACTGAAACCATCCAAGCGCGGACAATCATTTTCCTATCCCAGTATCTCCACCAAACTGAGCTCTCAAATCCTGTAGTGACCTAATCTGGCCCCCATCCGCCCCAAAATTCCCAGCATCCAACCATTTCTCCAGGGCAGTCTTTAGCGAAGCATCCCACTCATCTTTCAAGATAGAAAACCAAGCCGTATCCCTATTTCTCCCTTTAACAATCATATGCTGTCGAAAGACCCCTTCAAATGAGAATCCCAAGCGCAAAGCCGCACGTCGTGAAGGCTCATTTAGCGAATTGCATTTCCACTCCAATCTCCTATACCCAAGATTGTGGAAAGCATGCTGGGCCAGGAGATAGATCGCCTCTGTCGCGCCAGTCGTGCGCTGGAGCGCACCCGAGTACAGTACACTCCCGATTTCAATGCCCAGGTGATCGGGGGTCATACGCATAAAAGAGAGATATCCGATTGCTTTCCCGAAAGTAGGAAGAGAGTTACGCTTGTCAATGACTGCGTAGAAGAATGGATCTGTTGAAGTGGATTTCGAAGAAATGCTGGCTTTGAAGGCTTCGGCATCTGCGTACGGCCCGTCGGGCAAGTAGTCCCAGAGGGCTTCTTTTGCTGGTTCAAGTCCACCGGTGAGGGTAAAGAGGTCGTCGGCATGCTTTGGGGAGAGTTTCTCGAGAAGAATTGTTCGCCCAGGGATTGTTTGGCTCGTTGGTAGTAGAGCTGGTGTGAAGGGGACTAGTGGGCCTTGTGGGCGTAGTGATGCCATGTTTGGGATTTTATTCTCTTTGAGTTACTAGGTAGGAATCGAGAGCGATGCGAGGTCTATATGGTATTTTCTTGATGTTTAATTCCCTAAATGCTCTCACCCAAGCACTATGTGTGAGTCACGCTAGAGTGATTGGTTGTGAACCCCGAGATCCCGTGACAGTAGGGTTTCGGTAGAACGTGATAGGTTGGTTGTCCGAACTATATGATCCAATTCAAAGGATAACAGGGATTATTTGAGAGTAATATGAGCAGAACAAAGTACACATTGGCTCATAATGGGGTCAATTTTGCAAGAAAGCTCGCCATTAATTACATTTCTGTGGACTACAGCTCTTTATCAAAATAAACCAGTTTTGCCCCTCTTTGTGTATAGCAAATACCACAAAAAGATCAGCTGAAATGCACCAAAACACATGACTATCCCACTAAACAATTGAATACCCAGGTAGTTCAAATCCGCACTACCATCGGAGCCAATTGTAGCGAGCGCGCCTGCTATTGGTGGGCCCACAAGAGTCGCAAAGCTACTCAGGCTCTGCGCCATTCCAAGCCAAGTTCCCAGGCTCTTGGGGTCGGGACACACATGAGTGAAAACGCTCGGTGGAAGAGGAATCAAAGCCCCGGAGATACCACCTGTGATTTGGGTCAGAATAGAGCACCGATGACCCAGACAAAGGAACCTCACTTACCATAGAAGGCCGCAAAAAGAATAAATCGTACCAGATTGTCTGCACTAATCCAGCAAATACACAGAACACCTGACAGTACACCGCAAATGATCCAAGAAACCATCGACCCATAATAGTGAGCGAATAGAGTCAAGACAACACGGCCAAGAACCGAAGAAGCCTGGGAAATCATCAAGACATTAGAGGCCATTGAGCGCGACGTGCCCAGTTTCGTCTCCGCGTAGGTTGGGATGTAATAGAAAGGGGTGATATAACCGAGGTATAGGAAGAAATTCCCAATAGCAAAGCTCCAAAAAGGCAAATCCTTGAAAGCGCGCAAATCAATCAAGCTCCTGCGCTGGGTGGTTTTAACCTTCACTGCATGTCTCTCCGGCCACAAAAGCATAATAGCAGCCGCGATGAAAAGCGCCAACATCAGGAACGCCATGAGACGAACAGTCCAGGAGAACCCCACCCTCGGTATAAGCTGGTTGAACATGATAGTGTAGATGATGCCCCCGACAGGCGCACCGCTACTCGACACACCTAACGCAACAGCCCTTCTTGTTGTGAAAGAACGGCTGACCAATGCAATAGCGGGGACATAAAGCAATCCGAATCCGAAGCCCACGCAGACTCCCTGGCTTAGGAATATGGCATAGTACGCATGTGCAAGACTGAGCATCATTATACCAATTACACCTAGGATACTTCCAATGAGAATCATGGTCTTGTTGTAGCCGAGGTCGAAGAGTGGGCCAGATAGTAGCCCGCCGACAATAAGGAGCCAAGACTGGATTGTTCCAATCCAGGCGATGTCGGATGATGTTGATGATGGGATGTAGGTGAGTGCATAGTAACTTTGAAATGACCCAAATGCGAGATTTAGACCCCTGAAGGGATGTTAGCTTTGTTATTCGATTTTAACTCGAAATGTACTTGACATACCAGACATTGAAGAATATAAAGAAAGCACCGATAACTTGGAGACAGCCGTGCACTTTACTTTTTACAGCAAAGGTAGAGGGTATTTCGGACGACTCTTCATCTTCTGTGATATGTGCTAGATCTGTGGCCTCAGTATCAACAGGTGCCGTTTGGCCTTTCTCTGAGAACATGTTTAGCGGCCTCGAATAAGTTCAAGAAATATTATCAAGACTGTAGCCAGAATCCAAACAAATTAACAGAAAGTCGAGACCCCTCCAAGTTATTAGTCAGTCGATATATTAGCACCCGTGGACTGTCCACACTGCCGTGTTTACCGGCGATGCGGGGTGAGTGTCTTCAGAGTAACAACCCACCAGCTATTTTGAAGCATCACTATTGGAGTCAATCCTAGATAATATTTGTGCGTCATTTTGATAACTGGGTCAGTACAGAATTATCATGTTTACCAGGATTGAGTTGTGCCATTGGTGAAATTGTGCTAGATAATCGCGGGAAGGTGCGATAGTTTACCTCGGCTAGAATCTACCAACCGGTACTCTTATAACATCATGAGCAGTAGTAAAATCATATCTAAAATACCATAGGGATATATTTGAAGAATAACTCCATTGGTGTAGGTCTTGCTTCAGAATGTTCAGTACACTATAGCAACCATTAGAACTAGCACTCTGCTGGGAATAGTATCGTGGACAACGGAACCATTTCCGAAGAAGTGGACTCATCGATTGAACTAATTCGAGTCTACTACGTACAAACAATAAAGCCTATAAGTTCCCAGAATATTCAATGTCACATATGTATAGGTCTAAAGGAAGCATTGCCTATCATGTCAAATTTCACTGCTGTGACCTATGAAAAACCAAAATTTCAAATCATCAACTAAAACTTCAATTCCTTTTTTTGTTTTGGCATCGCTGTCTGTTTCTCTCTGCCTCTTCTCTGACTCTGGGGTCTCACTGCGTGTTCTGCTAGAACTATGGGTACTACTACCCCCTGTAGAGAGCAGCTGCATTTTAAGATCCCCCGTAAATTCGATATCCCGTCCGAAGTCACTTAATTCGTGTCTCTTTTCCTTTCCTTTCCTTTCCTTTCCTTTTCTTTTTCCCTTCAATCCCCTTTTATCCAATTTAATTTATTTGCAAGGCGCCAAAAATAAACTTGTGAAACCCCAGCGCTTAGCAGATTCAACTTAGGGCAAAGTGATCTGCGGATTTCCAGCCAGTCCAAACGATCAACTAACCGCTATAAATCTACGAGCCCAATAGAAGTCAAAGCTATTATACGTACGATGAGCCTCAGCAGGAACAAATGCTGAATTTAAATCTAAGGGACCCCTGCCAAAAATCAAGATTATTATCTCCTTTCTCCTAACCTGCTCGCCGCATCTCTCTTACTCCCGTAATCAAGAACAAGAAATGATTCGCCTCAAAGCAATCCTCCATATCCTCATCTTCCAAGCCATGGTCTCTAATCATTTATCCAAATAGTCTCCGACACAACCCTCTATGAATCCCCTGCCCCGACCAGGGCCGCGGCTTCTGGTGCTGCAGCGTAAACGGTACGAATTGCTGCGACAACGCCGTTCGCCTAGATATGGGCCAGATGATCAATGTCTCTGTGACATCACTCACATCTGAGGTCTCCTTTTCATCAGGCTCATCCGAGTCCTCTCTCTCGTCCTCGGTATCCTCCGCCTCGTCACAATCACATACCTCGTCAGCCTCATCGCCTTCGTCGACCAACGCCAGCACTGCCGATGACGAAGATACTACATGCAATTCTGGCTCAAATGCCAGCACCACATGCCCAGCCTCAAAAACAACAGCCATCAGCGCCGGACTTGGGGCTGCATTGGGCGGGTGCCTTCTGATCGCTGTTGTCACGATGCTCAATGCAGCGGCGAATCTATAGGAAATTTTTGCGGCAAAAGAAGGCGATGATTGATGAAGTTGCTGCTGCGAGCTTAGCGCAGCATTTGGTTTACCCTGTTTATCCAGAGAAGGAGAAGATGATGTTTCCGGCGGAGTTGGGGCCGCGGGATACGCGTATTCATGAGATCGAGGTGAGTCGGCTTAATGAAAAATGAGATTGTATATGTTAGAAGATGGGTTTTAATTTAAAGGTAGGGATCTGTGCGGTGATTGTTTAATTGATGAGTTATACGAACTTTGTGCATAGATTTCCAATTTTAGCGGAGTCTGACGTTAGAATGGAGAGTTGCCTGCGAGTGTCGATGCCTACCAGAATAGGCCTAGGATAAAAGCCTTGAAAAGGGTATGGGGTATCAAATGAAGTGCAGTCATTTTTTGAATCATCATCAAATGGATTAATTCCAACGATCCAAAACAGAGCGCATAAGTACATCCATCAACACACATGTCCAGGTATCTGGAAAGAGAGAACAGCGAGCATGAAGAGCAAAAAAGAGCACTATCGTGACAATATTTCCATCATAAAAGAAAAAAAGAAGATTCAACACCTGATATCTCAAAAGAAAGCCCAAATCCAAGAACTCCACGAGAGCCAGGAAAGCCAAGATAAAAGGCCAATCCCAAACAAGGAAAAAAAACGGAAATTAATCTGATAGAAAGCACAAGAAGAGACCATCGTGATCATCTACTTGCGCCAGAACATAGCTTTTCCGATGGTCCTGCCAGCACTCCAGCGAGCCTCGGCAAGTTTATCCTTGAAGGATGCACCGCCGCCATAGCGCACAGGACGGGAGGAAGCCGCTCCAGATTCAGAGGAAGCAGCCGCACTCGAACCACCGAAAGCGCTGGGGGCAAAGTTTGTCATGTTACCCGCATCGAACTTCGTCTTTCCTTCAACGATTTTCTGAACAACGTTCAAGATGGCATAGGTAGTAGAACCAATAGCACGAATAGCAGCGAGGACAGCGACAGACCACAAGATGATAGCGAGGTAGATGTTCGTACCACCGGCGTCAACACCGTAGATTTCGGACACAGCCATGCCGAGGACTACGTTCGCGACCATCCAGATGGATACCATGTAAGTACGGACTGCCCGGTAGTAGTCCTCCTGCAGCTGAGAGTCTGATGGCGGGGGCTCCGGGACCTCAAGGCGATCGCGGAGGTTGCGGAGGGCCGCGTCGTAACCGGAGTCAATATCGAGTTGTTCGGAGGGCATCTCAATGACGACAGTTGAGCCGTTGATGGTCTTTGCTGCTCCGAGATCAGTGTTGATCACGTTGTCACCTTTGGTTCCCCAGGTTACGTCGTGGGTGTTGCAGAAGGCGTAAACTTGGAGGATGCAGATGTAGCTGGGCATCAGGAGGAAGTATTGAATGGAAGAGGTAAACATGTGCCACGGATCCAGGTAGAGGAACGAGGTGTAGAAGTAGAGGCCAACAGTTGACAACATGGAAATTACGATGTTCATCATTAGGCCGTCCCCGACTTCCATGTCATCGCTTCCGACACCAGCACGTGCGAGTAACTCTTTGACCACTAAGAAGAGGGCGCAGAAGACAGTGTAGAACATGATAATGGCGTACACAATGATACCAGAGAGATAGAGATTTTTGGCACTAAAAAGATTGTCAGTTAAGTCACAATTTATGATGAAGTATTATGGACTCACCCTTGCGGTCGATTACCCAACGAGATTATAAACTGCAAACACATAACCAGAATACAAGCATAGCGCAAAACAATGAAGATGTATTTGCCCATGTTGTGACCGAACGGATCAAGCTTCTCATCAGTCAAAGAGCCAGCAATGAAGTAGAAAGCGAGGTAGAAGTTGGCCTAGAGAAAGTCAGTGGACGTCCCAAAAGGAAAAGAAAAGATAAACCCACAAGACCAAAGTAAGTAAAGAGCAGGTTAAGGAATTGATAAAAGAACTCGATATGAAGCAAGATCTTCCGGGCAAGAGTGTGATCTGTCTTCCAGATCTGCTTGGCATTGAAAATCGAGTAGACAGCGGCAAAGAAAGCACCGTTCAGCCATCTTCGGCGCTGGGAGATGAACTCAGGGACCGAGTCCGGCACATCAGTTTCTCCAACAGCGTTCTTAACAAACTTCAACACCCATCTCTCTTCCCGCTTGGCAACCAACTCCCAGCAGAGAATACGATCTTCAGCCAGGTACATGTTGGCGGTGAAAACATCTGCATCTTGACCGTGGAGTGTTTCACCCTTGAAATATTGGTTGAGGGGGCCATGGCCATCTGCGTCGTTTTGCAGGGCAAAGAACCGATAAGCACTAAGCGCACCAGGCAAGACAGTAATGTAACCGAAGACCGATTCGAGAGGCTTGTCGAGAATGTTGGACATCTTGTATTCGAAGTTCTGACTTGCCACGAGAGGGTTGAGTAGACCGAGCATGTTTTTACCCTTGGCAGCCTTGATCTCACCAGCAGCGCCGGCAACATTGGAGTCCTGGTCGAATGCCTTCCACAAGTGGTAGAGGGCCATTGGCTCTGGTCTAGTTCCAACATCGAGCAAAATACAAATGTTGGGTTGAAGGGCACGACCGAAAGCATTGAAGAACCATCGGTGGGAGTTCAGCTTCTTCTTGTTGTGTTCCTTCAAACAGAAAATAACCTGGCACGGCACAATTCCCTTCTCAGCACCCTTGAACTTGAGATCGTCGTCAAGCGAGACCTGGGTGGTGTACTCGTACACGTGTGCCTGAACTTCCTTTTGGTTGACAATATTCTTCGCAATACCCTCCTGGTAAACACCGAGGGCGGCCAATGCATTCAGCGTACGTGGGTGGACTTTCTTACGTCCATCAGCGACAATACAAACAACGATCTTCTTCCATCCATCACGGCCCCAAGTACGCGACTTAGTGCGCGAGCAAAAGTGGCTGATATTCCGCATAACACCGTGCATGGTACGGGTGAAACCAATCTCATCTTCGTTGTACATGGTGATACAAATAAACAGCTCTGTCTCGCGAGTCGTACTGCCAATCTGCTGGCGAAGCTTATATCCGCGTTCGCCATAATCGTCCGGATCGGATGTGACAGCGGTATATCGCATGTGTGTGAACTCCCGCTCGTCGCGGCGAGGCAGGAAGCTGTGAAGAATGGTCGGAATTTTGCACTCCAAAATAAGCTCGCCGTTGACCAGCTGAACTTCCTTTTTGGCGACCTGCTTGGATCGGACACCGCGACGGCCCTGCTTGTCGGGTGCTGGGCCATAATGGAGGTTGGGATCCAGAACGTGCGATTCATCTTCATCATCATCGAGGTCGACCTTTGACATGGCATCTTTCTCGTCTCCCAACATCGTCGATTCGCTCATGAATGATCGGACGCTACCGCGCGAGGTGTGGTGAATTGTGCGGCCATCACCGCCGAATGGATCTTCACCATGGGCATCTCCAATATCGATGCTTGTATCCACTGTTGATTTCGGCCCGGAGAACAAAGGCGCTGGAGGCAATGGTCGATGGGGACTACCCCCATATCTTGAGCTGGGTGTACCGGGCCTCGGGCTACCGTTTATATCAGCGCGTTCATATCCAACACTTGACACGGACGGTGGTCGGATGTGGGATGGGCTCCATGGGCGAATTGGCGATCCTGTGCGTGGCGGAATAGATGGGTAAACAGAAGTGTCTGCGAGGCTTGCTGTGGGAGGCGGGATACTGGGTCCACTAGCCAAGCTAGATGGTGGACGCGAAGGGGAAGAAACGCTGGGCATCTCGTAGTAATGATCATAGCTTCGGTCTTGTCCGGTCCTAGAATCGCGCCCTCTGATGTTAGTTCTTGGTCTTGGAAGACGTTCCATTTTGCCTCGAAGCTGGCAGGAAGAGGGCCAATGTGGAGGTGAAGGTGGAGTGGGGACGGAAGGGTAAACAATATACTGGAGTGCCAGGTATACAATGTTTACGGGGAGGATGATCGACCAAACAGCATGGAAGGAGTTGGCTCGAGCCCAGCAGCAATGCCATTGACCGGCAATTGCCGAAGGCGCAATTTCTCCCAGCCTCACCTTCACGCCAATGAAGGGGTTGGATTTGGTGGTGCACATGGTTCCGTCGCGAGGGAGACCACTGGAATGTGAAAACGGACAGAGTCGAGAGGGAATTGGGCAGTACATACGGAGTGTGGTCATAATCTGGGTCATAATGAGAAGGCGAAGGAGCCCTATGACTACTAGCTAAATCATCGGCGCCGTCACCGCTTGGCAACAAGCGCATAGTTGCTCCATTGAGACGCGAGGCGTTGGTCGGAGACTCAGGATCGGACAGATAGGAACCCGTGTCGTGGTTGAGGTATGCGGGCGGCGCGTCGCCGTAATTGGATGGCGGATGGTTCATGATAGAACGTGGAATGTGGTGTCTCTCTTTCAACTCAATGCCTCATAGTATGGCACCTGAGGTGGGTATTGACGAGACAATGATGAGTCTCAGTCCCTGTCTCTCGAAGACAAGACAGAGAGGGCGTGGATCTGTCTGATTCGACAGATGAATAGTTGAGGTCTGAGGTTTGAGGAATGGAGGAATGTGAATACTATATCACCGTTAAAGCTCGACACACAAGCAAGGTGAAGAGGAGAAAGACCAGACAATAAAAGAGCAAAGAGGATCGACTGGGCAAACAAGTCCAGCCCGTTCATATCCGTCGTTGTGCATCAACAAATGTGGAGGTGCAGGTGGTTGTCAGGGCAACGCCAGACTTGTCCAAATCAGCAGGAAAGGTTTGGGGAAACAATAATCAAATCAATTATTACATGTAAAATAGAACAGTGCATAACTTTCAGATATTCAATTTTATTCCTTTCCATTTCCGATGTCAAATTGTCAAATTGTCAACATGGTATCTTCAATACATCTTCAATATCCCCAGTCTCAAGTGGGTCGATGCATTTTCACATTAAAGCGCCACTTGAACATAAATTATTATTCCAGGTATCACGAAAGAGTGCATAATTCTGCCAAAACAAGACTGACATCACAGATCCAAACACCATACTTTCATCCTCGTTCTCGTTTTTGGGCCTTTGACCGGCCCAATCTTAATAGTATGCCCCAGCGACCGGCTGGTAATCTTAGGCTTATCATGGCAGTGGGTCCTTCATTACGACATGACGACATGCTCACACCCCTTCGTTGAGCAGCGGCTCTCTCTCCCGGTCCGCCGACTCCGGGTGGGCAACGCGACGGAAGAGGCTGTCACGGCCAGTGTACTTGGTCGTGGAGACGTAAAGAGAGACGGCCAAGAACATGCCAAATACAACAAAGGCAAAGATCCACTGCAGGGCAATGATCTTGATAGCGATTTGTCTGAGGGCGAGTGCTAGGGTTGTGTATATCAGCAAAGCACTCGCAAAGGTGATAGAAAAGGAAAAGGGCAGAACTTACACAGGGTCAACCAACTCAAGCAATATCCAAGGATATAATCCTCCCGCAGGACGATATCAAACAATCCAATCGCGAGAATAACCCAGATAAAGATATTAGCAACAATACGGCCAGGCAGGTTATGGCTGTGGACAGCGACCGCACCATTCCAGAACAGCGCCGTCAGTGTCCAGGCATAAGGACCGGCGACGGCGGGCAGGTGCACGAAAGCCGGCAGGCCGCGGTGGCGCCAGTAGGTGACGGCCTGGTTGATAAAGTGGGCGATGAGGATGATCTCTGCGCCCCAGAAGTGGTTGCGGGTCCAGAGGAGGATCCAAGCGGCGAGGAAGAGGTTGTTTAGAATGAAATGGGTGGCTACGTTGGCAGCTGCCGTGACGAGGACGTTGTTCTTGGAAAAGAGGTGCCAGACATAGCTGAGCTGAGACAGGAGGAGGAAGATCCTGCATTGGGGGGGTTAGTTCGTGGATATCGCAAAGCGTACTAACGTCCAATATAGACACGGCCGAACTAACCAGAAAACACCAGTCAGAGTAGTGCTCTGGCTGAATGGAGTATTATGCTTATTAGCCTGCTTCCATATCTTCTTGCCCTTCTTGGTATCGTCGGGCGAGTGGACGGAGTGGTAGATGCCGACCACCACAACCAGAGCCCAGGTGAGGGGTACAAGGACCCGGTATGTATTCAGCGAGTTAGCACTGTGAGTTTCGCGTCTAGCGAAAGGGTTGAATGATGCCATGATGGATTTATTCCCCAAGCTGATGAAGCTGAGTATAATTAAAGAAAGGAGAAAACCTATATTGTAGAAGAGGGGATCTTATAATTAAGAATTAACAAGGGATTCCCCGCATATGGTCATCGGACCACTATCCAATGGAAATCAGACCATTTCAGGAAGAACAGGGAAGTGGAAATAATGGCGATGAGGTCAATCCCACGGTGATGACATCAACGCTTTTATAAAACATATAGGGTTACTTCCACCTACATTACTACAAATGTACTTGATGCCCTCGAAATATGAAGGAACTATCGTAAATACTAGATATATTTTATTCACATCTTTCAGCTTAATTAGAAATACTTGTGTTTCTCGTGAAACAGGGGCTGAGCGCCATCACAGTCTAGCCCAGTGAGAACGAACAATAACCTGGCGCAACTTCTGCCAAGGGTAGATCATCGTGCACAGTCCTATTCGATACAACGATCAACCTGAAATCGATGTATATGGAAATGCACAAGGTACCTATGTTGTAAGTAGCAGTGGGCAAGCTAAGAACTCAAAAATTCTCGATGCTGCCCAGGCGAGCACAGGACCTTGGCGGAAATCAAAATGGGACCCGCAATTGAACCTAAAAATAACAAAATAATGTCTGAAACATGACACTTACGTAGGAATCGTATGCCATTTTCATTTTGAGAAGAAAACGCGGGGAAAGGGGCCCGGGTGCTTACGACTGACTCATGTAGAAATAAGTGTCTACGTTATATGTATGTATGTAAGGAAGACATACTACTATTATAGTAACGATGCCAATGATGTGATTATCTAGGGTATCAAAACCGGTATGCAAAAGATAAAATGTAAAAGAAAACCCGCACCATGTATAGAAGGGAAACAATCAAAATCCCCGCGCCTCCCTCACAGCCTCCAAAATCCTCCCATGAACTGAAGCCGGCCCAACAACCATACCATGACACCCAGCCAAAGTCCGACCCAGCGAACAATCAACCGGCTTTCCCTCAAGGTCCGTAACAAGGCAGCCCAATTCCTGCACAATAAGCATGCCACCCGCATGATCCCAAATTTTCGAGCGATAATCCGGACTTAGCGGCACCTTAACGAAAGCATTACACCCTCCCTGCACGGCAATAGCAACATAACGCATTTGCGCCGACCATAAATCAACTGGGTTCGGCCACGGACAGCCAAGATTCGCCGCAACACGGGCATGAGCCTCGAGATCCTGCGTCTTCGCCGCACGAGTATCAATGAAGCGCACGCCGGAGGCTCCAACCTGCGGGACATTTTCGAGCGGGCGCGCCGGCAGCAAAGCGCCCAGACCCATAGGTCTGATGGTAGCGCCCTGCCCGGCAACGGCTGAGATCATCTGGCCGAGACCGTCGCGGTCAACGCGGTGTTCAGCGACGGGTCCCGATTCCAGGAGATTGGGGCAGCCGAGGACGCCCACTTTCTGGACTCCATTTTCGACTAGTGATAGGCAGACTGCGTACTGTTCACCGCGGATGAAGGTTGCTGTTCCGTCTACGGGATCTAGAGTCCAGGTCCTGCTGGTGGGGGTGCAGGCGCCTTTTGCACCGAGGTCGATTATGTCGAGGAGTTCGGAGGTGGTACGTGGGGTGTGGAGCAGGGCTTCGCTTTCTGGGTCATTGAGGTGAGTGCCGGTTGCTAAGTCCCAGGTTCTCGCGAGGAGGTCTGGGTTTGTGCGGAGGGCTGTGGCATCTTCTTCGCCGACGATGTCGTCGTCTGGGAAGACGTTGTGAATGGCTGCAATTATTGAGGCTTGGGCGGCGAAGTCCGCAATTGTTACGGGTGAGGAGTCGCTCTTGTCAAGGGCGCCTTTGTCAACAGCAGAGAGGATCTCTTTCGTTAAGATGGCTGCTCGTTGTACGGCTAGGCTGGCGAGTTGAAGCTCTTTGGCGTATGGGGTTGGAGAGGTCATGGCGGTTCAAGGGATTGTTTGTGTGGAGGGCTTGGGATGATTGATCCCGGGGGGGATTTACCTTGACCGGATGTAGAAATGACAATTGGGAACTGAGTACTCGTATGAAAACGGTGTTATTTTTTGGACATCACGTGCGAAAACATCGGTGAGTATCCCTACGTCATATCTAAGATCTAGCCCTAAGGATCTACAAGACACGAAAAGTGTATGAAAGTGTATGGATAAAGCTTTCTCAATATAATTTCCTCAACTCTCAATATGCTATACCAGCTTCAAACCTACCGCATAGGACTTTTTTTTAGGAGAAATCTATATTAAAGTCATAAGTACATTTTCATAGACTCTCTATAGCTTAGCCTTGCCTTCCTCCCGACCTTCAAGATTAGGGTGGGGGGGATCGAATGGGTCGAGTAACGGCGTAGAAGGCAAACCCTTGAGACTTGGTCGAGAACTATATCGTAGAGGAGAAATTAGAACTATTTCAACTAATATCTCGCGTACGAGATGTGAGAGTGTCATGACAAACCTTGACTTTAGATCCAACATGGAAAAAAGCGAAATCTCCCGGGACTAGGTGGTGGGTGATCCCGGTAGCCTCATCCTATTTAAATCCGTGTTAATAAAAACAAAAGATCGAAGAAACAACTTTGGATATATTATGGGACATACCAAAACATCGATCTGACCATTGAGGACATATTTTGTCTCCTCAAAATTGTAGCTCGCGGGTCTTTCAGGTCCAGCCTCGATCTTATAGAATCCCGAAGTGAAGTGTGCAGGGGATTCAGTGTTGGTTCGGATAGAGTGGAAGTCGGCAGTAGTTGCGTTCTCGCCCTGAGGGAGGGGGATGAACTCGTGGCCGGCGCCTTTAATAACTGTAAGAGGAACGATATTGCTGGACACTTTCCATAGCGAACTTTAGTATTAGTGACTTTGAACTAATCCTTCTGGAATTTATGAGTAACTCACTGTTGCTATACTTGATGAATAAAGATAGCATTGGGACGTATTTCAGCGAGGTACCTAACTAATATACACGCTCATTGCACTACGGTATAGCTCGGGCGCATTCCCGGGACATGGCAGAGATCCTGCGTCCTTTATCCCGATGAGGAGAAAGTTCCCTGTGTTGCTCTGCCCTCATGAGGGGAACACGGGTGCATCGCCCGGAGGTGGAGAAATGTCGGATGAAGAGCCGTACCCACTATGACATTCTCGCAATTGATGACTCGTATGCTTTTCCTTTGTGAGGCTAAAGAAAGGGAAAGAAACTAAATAAGGAAAAAGAGAAGCTGAACTGTACTAGTTCTAGTGGGTACCCTGTATTTTGACTACTATCCACATGCCCCTGATCACAGAGCTTGAGTGCTTGGCTTCAGTCTACTATAAGCTGTTATGACCATCTTGTAATAGAGTTACTGAGATAAATAATAATATTGATTTTAGACTACCACGATAGAGTGTTCAACGAGTCATAATCATTCAAATGAGGGTACGTAGGGTATAAGCCCCCCAAGACCGAAAAAATAAAACTAGCATCGGGTTGAACCTCAATGTACCCTTGACGAGGGAACCCAGCTCGAAGGTATATCACATGAAACGCCGAACCATCGTATAAACCAGCAAGACAAAATTAGAAGGGAGCAAAAGCCAGCTCGTAAGCAAAAGCCAAGCTCATCTTCGCATGCTGCAGCATATGATCGAAGCTCAGATACTCAATCTTGTCCTCGGTAGTGTGGATCCTCTTGTCAGAGTTCTCAAATTGAGACTCGATCACAAATGCTGAGGGGTATCCATACCGACTAGCAGAAGCATGATCAGAGCATGCATAGCCACACTTCGTCTCGACATAAGGCACATCGCAATAGGTAGTGATAACCTCCTTAATGAACGCAGTAAGACCCTGATCGACGTAGTCGATAATAACACCGACAGACTCCTTCTCGCCAGCGTCCAGAGTACCCTGAACATATCCAGTCATGTCTTGCTGGAGCATAGCCTTGACGTTCCGCTGGTTCTTCTTATAATTAGCGTACACAGCCTGCGATCCAAGCAAGCCACCTTCCTCGGCAGAGTACCAGTGGAACTCGATAGTGTTGCGGGCCTGTCCGTGGGCGATAGTCTCCGACCGCAGCAGGGCGCGAAGAGCTTCGAGGATAGTAACCGTTCCACTTCCGTCATCGTCCGCGCCAGGAGCAGCCAGGATCGAAGGCAGGAACAGGTTGATGCTATCCTGGTGGGAACCAAGGATGACGGTATTGTCCGTCTGGCCGGGAATGCGGGCGATAATACTGAACTGACCCCAGGGGTGGGCAAAGCGCTCCACAGTTGCGCCATGGTCACTGGCACCAGACTCGCGCACTGCGGCTGTCACTTGGTCGAATAGCCAGGTTGCTGACTCAATTCCCGTTTGCGACTTGTAGTAGCGCGTGTAGAAGGATGTGAAGTGTTCCAGGTTGCTTCTCATGTTACTCTTGTCGAGGGTTTCGGTCAAAGGCAGAATCTCGTGAGAGTGCTCCATAGCCCCTGGGTAGTGAACGACACGTGTGGTGTGGAGGGTTCCGTAGGAGCCTGATTGGTATTCGTCGGTGACATCAATGAAGTTCACTCCGTCCTAGGAGGGGAGTTAGTACTATGTCTGATTGAATCTGGGTCAGAACATACCAGTTTGAGCGACCATTTTTCTTCTTCGGTTACCCATCGGGTCCGGTATGGGGCCAGTTCGATTAGAGACTTGTGCTGAGGGTTTTGAACGATTGAAGGCGCTAGAGGTTGTTGCTCTGGGTTGACTATGATCATGGCAGTTGCCGTTGCGCTTAGCGCAAGAGTGAGGAACTTCATGATGAGAACCTTGGAATATTTAGGTAAGGATAAGAAAAATAAGCAGAACAAGGGTCTAGAGACAGGGTAGGTTCTTTTAAAAGCTCTGAGAAGTGCAAGGTATTGGGCACGCGCCCTGCGCCAAGCCATTTTTGGACCCCGCGCGCTAAAACACCGAGGCTCTGTATCATATTATTCTTAGAACGGGCCCCCGGTATATCCGATCAGTTTGAAATCTCTGCACATAAAAACATATGTACGGAATATGTCAATTCTTATTTAAGATACAGTCTTCCAAGGTTGTTCAAGATACTCAAATCCAGGCACACCCAAAGCACCACAAGACATAAGGCATGACTCGACTCTGGGGATTGTAGGTGGAGAATGTGAAAAGGAAACTCCACTATGACTGCGCCATGACTCACAGCCTTGCGGAGATAAGGCTCATATACGAGGAAGATTAATATAAGGATTGTCTGCCTACGGATTTATAGCTAGTATACGGAGGAAATTGTACAGCCTCGATATTTGCTCCACCTTCTGGCCCCTGGGACAGTTTCTCAACTTTCCAATCACTTTTCCCAATTAGGAAAGTAGGGCTAGGGCTAATAAGTACCCACTTCCCGCCAATCAGCGTGCAGCGAGTTATCCCGTGCAGACAACCTTGCGTATCATCTCTCAGTCCTTATCTTGCCCATTTCTATCCTATCCTTATCCCTCTTCCTCCCTAGGACTGTTGCCCTAATTAGATCGCGTTGCATACATTATGGCTATCCATCCACGTCTGCGCCCAGAAGGTTCGCAAGGGCACCTGTCGCCGCAACAAGCCCTAGCCATATCTGCATGGACAGAGCAACATGCAGCAGCGTCCCTGCAGGATATGACCCTATCGGATTCAGCCCCTGCAGAGAGGACGCCGTCTACACCAACGCCGACGCGCTCTGGTCTGCGCGGGGCCACCGTTTCGCTGTCGATCCCTCTCGACGACGAAGCGATCCCATCCCAAAGAGTCAAGGCCGAGTCCCGACCCCCAACAGTCAACTTCCGGCGTCGGGAGCCTCTGCGTCGGGACGGCCTCAAGACCCGGGAAGCTCTGCTCAAGGGCAAAGACGGCAGTCGTCGGAGACAGCGCTGGGAGAACGGTACGTTGTATATGCACTAGATAGGTCGCAGTGAATGCCGACTTGTACCTTTTTGGATTTGGCGCAGGTTTGGCAGGCAAATGCTGACCAGACACCAAGATCGTCTGTTGCACAACCCCTGGGCGGAACCGCCGTCTTCAAAGGACTGGGATGTCCAGCCTACCTATCCGCGGCATGACCCGATGCCTTATTATCTTGCGCCCCTGTGGGACGTTCACTATTCCCATGTGGCGGATCATCAGTCGGCTGTGAAGGCTGCTGAGAGAGCTAACGAGAAGCATCACATTCCGAAGGAACTGAGGTTAAAGCTGAAGCATGCGCGTGCTGCCCATGGCATGCTGCGAGATCTGGAAGATGAAGTCCGTGCGTTTATCCAGAAGTGGAATGAGAGGGAGCTTCTGCTTGAGAAGGAGGGGTTGCGGGATGCCCCCGATAACTCGGCTAATGACGACTCGGAAGATGAGATCGTCTTTGTCGGTCGTAATGGGCAGATGCACGACTCCCCCGAACGAAAAGGAGAGACTCCGCTTGCTTCGAGAGGAGATCAGCTCTCACAGCGAGCGGGATGGTGAGAAGATGGTGCTTGAGACTTTGTCTGATGATCGTTCTGCTGGATTCGGGTATGTTTTAAGCCATTTCTCCCACTATGGTAGTGAAATTGACCAGTCTACTGACGCTACTCAGTCGCTGGTTGGTCCACTCCATCGCATCCTACTATGGATTGCACACTTGGTCTGTCACAGTAGAAGACCGGCGAGAGGCCTACGTGGGCTTCCGGCCACCTGTCCCAGGAAGCCGTGCCGGGCTCGTTTCCCACCCAGCTTGCCATTCAGAGACCTTGATCAAACCCGGTGACGAGCTTCCTCGGCCTCTCTATGCGCAGGTGTAGACTGCTGCATTCTTGTTTCGTTCTCCTCCGTCTTCCAGATTGCACATATGTTTTTGTTTCCATCCAGCGTAACGTTCACGGATATTGTAATCACCACGACATGAACCCAGACGGCGGTCCCTCGGCTACGGGTGGTCACGTATAGATTTTATTGGACATACTTTTTCGGTCGAAATTCAGGCCAAGGGATATCTTCTCGTAGATTTTGATGCAGTGTTGATCAATTGCCGGTGCGACCATGGTTATTGGGGACTACGAATTCATCGTGTCGGTGTTTGTTCAATCAGATCGGAGTGAAAACTTCGAGTAACATCATAGAACCCTCTTCGTTCTTGCGATGTCGATAGGTAAGTCTGTGCGCTAAACCTGGCCGATCCTATGTCGTCATGCCATGGCCCAAGACATGACCGTTAAGGAAAGTAGACGAGTCGTACGATCGGACATATGTTGGCATGAACTCTGTAATTGATCTAGCGCAAACTGTCCAGGAACAGGTATTCTTCTTCAGCATGGCATGATACTCTAGTACAGTTATATATAGTGTTACATACAATCTCCGTACTATAGTTAGGGATACAGTCGGCTACATATATTACAGTCTCCACCACACAATGGATCGGAACGGACCGTACCCACGGTTTCCAAGATTCTTACGTCTGAGATATATGAAGGGATTTTGTCCTAGAATTTGTGTGCTACTCCGTATGACGTATATACAAGAATTTTCAAGTGCTTGGACCCTGGAGGGACCGAGCCCTGACAAAAGAAACCCAAGTACCTTGTCTCAGGTACGGAGTACGGAGAACAGGGAATCTCGTGTCCAGACCTCTTGGATGCAGCCCCCCGCAATCTCACTGGTTCTTCGGGAAACGAAAAGCAAAAGGAAGGGCGAAGCCACGAATGAAGATGAGACACAGAGACCATCACACAGCGCATAGTGCGCTAGAGAGGAGTTCTATTCCCCCTTATAGGTAGACACCTTGTGTGGCTGATTTTCGTGTTCTTTTTTTCTCTTTTATTATTTACTTTCCTTTCTATTAGTGCCGTGAGAATTACGTGCGACAGTGTCTAAACAAAATCTTTGCATTGTGTGTAGAACAAAAGAGTCGGGTACCCAAAATGACTTGGACATTCCTTCCCCCACCCCCTCTAATGTTCTAAATACTTCCCACACTGTGACAGTCCAGTTTTTTACATTCTCTCTGATCTGTTGATTTTTGGGATTCGATCTCCTTTTCTCTATTTGCTTTTTCCCCCTCTATTTCACATTCTCCCCAATTCCCCCGATATTTTATTCCATATATTTTGCCTTCTCAAATAGGAAACCCCTGCCTTTTTCTCTCTTTTCGCCCTCGATCATATGATTATCTTTCTCGCTTTCACTTGTATCCCTGATAATAACCCTGGATATATCACTCTAATGTGCCTTGTCACTATTATTGTTCCTCGGTGCCCCATGTTATGAGGATCTGACCCCTCCTTGATTTACGGAATCAACCGGACTATCTGCAGAACGGGTGTGATCGCTTTTGCTCTGATATACTTTATTTGGTCAACCACACCACCTGCGGCTTACTTACGGCTAATTTTGATATTACTCCTGGCTTATGTCCACTTCTTCTACCCTTCTTCGCCTACTTCACTGTAGATCAGTGAACACATACATAACACACCTATAACCCAAATCAACATCACACAACCACCATGGGCTCCTATAAATCCTGTCAAGCCGGTAGCTACAGCTCAACAGACAGCTCATGCTCAAAAAGCACGGCAGCAACAATCCACAGCGACCGAATAGCCCCCAAACCACCCAAAGAAGACTGGGCAGCCAATCCAGCCAGCCAAAAACACACCTACAGATACGAAGTTGGAACCGAAGACGAAGTAAATTACGAGTGCCGCGAGCCACATCCCTGCGCCTCAACCTCAACCTACGCCTCAACAACATACTCCACAGCTGAGCTCGACTCTGAGCCCCAAGCAATCGAGGCCCCCACCCCCCACGAAGACCGCTACTGGGTAAATGAGCGGCAAGAGTTCTACCCACTAGACGCAATTCCTTCAACACCTTCATCATTCGCGCCTCTCTTCCCCTCTTCGCGGCGACTGCTCATCCGCCACGACGATGCAACCATCGACGGCAACATGAACCTGCGCGTCGACACGCCCGTCCACCTCCGCGACGGCTCTCATCGCAATGTCATCCTCTTCCACCTGCGCATGTATGACCTTTTCTCGCGGAAGTTCTCATTCCGGCGGTATTGCCGCGACTCGGGGCGCGAGGTGTGCCATTCTGCAAGGCGGGAGGTGGTGCCTGCTCATGAGCGAAGGCCTGCGCTGCGCACCTCATGGAGTAGTGTTTTTGCTGGGTTAAGGCCTGGTTCGGCCGGTGGCCATTCTCTGCCGAATGGGGAGCTGAAGAGGCAGGATTCTGGGCTTGCGGCTTGTTGCGGACATGCTGCGGGAGAAGAGGTAGATAAGGGGACGACTGAGGAGGGTGAGTTGGAAAAGGAAGGACAGGGCGCTTTGCCGATACTGGGTGAGACGATCTTGCTCGAATTCTCGAATTATGCGCATGTCGAGCTGCGCCGCAAAGGACCTGGCTCGACTAAAAAATACGAGTTCGAGTATTGGTCCACGAAGTACCAGTGGCGGAGGGAGGTCCGCAAAGAGGGTGATCTGCATGAAGTGTCTTATTTCTTGGTTGACACGCGCACTTCCAAGACTATTGCGCATTTGGTGCCGGATACATTGGCGCCACTGGAGGTCGTTGAAGAGGAGAGTAAAGGGGGTTGGGTGCCCCCATCTTCATTGTGGATCAGTGATCCTGAAGTCTACAAGACGATGCCTGATGTTGCCGAGTAAGTTATGCTGAATCCCTGTTCTACCCCTCAACTGCCTGTTTTGTCCTCTGGTGCTAGCTCTGACTCTGGATCTGTTTTTGATTCTATTTGCTTTTTTTTGTTTGTTGTATATTCCCCCCTTTTTTTGGTCCCTCTTTTCTTTTTCTGTGGTTCGTATGAGGGGGCGTATGGTTCGTGTACAATGCACCAACGCATGCACCATGCATAATGCAGCATAGTACCCTTGCACAAAGTGATGATGAGGCATGAGGCTGATGAATTGGTTCGTTTTTTTTTTCAGTGTGATTGTCGCAACAGGGGTAGTTGCGCTAGTTGACGACTGCATCCGTCGTCGCTGGCATCACGAGCGACGTCCGTCTTGGATCCTGCCCGCTCAGCACTCGCTAGTAAAAAGCCTGGAGCGCATGGGCCCTCGGCGCCTGATCGGCCAGGTACTCCAGCGGAGAGGATCCGCCTAAGCGACACAGGGGCTCTCGACTCCAAGACCAGACAAGGTTGCTTTATTATGAGCTGAACTAGATGGATGAGTTGGTCCTGCATTAGTCGGGGTATTATGGCGCACGGGGCTTGATGTTGCCTCTAATGACTTGATGATATGAATGACGCGGGATATGAATGTCTTGCCGTTCTTGTTCTAGGTTAGATTCTTCTTCTTGTACCTTTTTATTGTGTGGCTTTTTGATCCTTCATCCTTTTTGGCCTCGTACCTATTGTTCATTGACACGAGTCATCTTGGTTTTAGCGGGACTCTGGGGACTCAAGCAGCCTGCTTCCGGATGATCCTCTAATACGGATCTGACAGGGAACCAAGCAGGCTTGCAGATTTGGGCATTTTTCATATTGCATAAATTGGAAATGAGAATGATAGCTTGCAATTTCATCTCATATCCCTCCCGAGGGTTGCTATGCTGGCGTTGCATACCTACCTAGGGACCACGTAGAGTCTGACCGCTCGAAGCTGAACCATGGTTCTATTTTTTGAGCTAGAGCTAGTCTACTCTACGAACCATGGTTCGAGACTCGAGCTAGACGTCTCGTGCTCTATTGACCTATTGATCTTTGGCCTATTGCCCTAATCCAAATGCATGTACACCTACTCGAAGATTTTCCTCATGCAACGGAGCCAAAAATAAATTGGCTAGCGTACCATATGAAGAAATGTCAGTACTATTGACTATTGTTTAGGGCTCATGATCGATTGGCTCTGGATGAATCTTCTGTTTTTAGCGCGAGTAACAGCCCAAAGAACACCCCTGGCCTTGCTGCCTTATGGAAATTCAAGAAATAGCCAATATGACACTTTGAATGTATTCTTAGTATGCCAGTATACTGGTCTACGACATCTACTACTGTAGGTACCAACTTTGTATGTAGTACTTATGTAGTCTACTGCGCAGCATACATCCATAGATGTACTTCGACAGATCAAGATTGGATGCGGGGCAAGCCCCTCATTCATTTTCTTTTTCCCAATATTTTAGACGCCCTATAATGTGCTGGCCTAGTCCCCTGTCGACCATCGGCTGTTTCTCTACGTGTTTCGTGCATACTCGATATTAGCCGCATTACTGAGAACCATGGTTGAGGATATTGTCGACTCTGCATGAATGCCCAACACTTCTCTGCGAAAGCAAGCACCATTCGCTCCGATTCGGATATTCGAATTATCTCTGAACAATAACAAATGAACTTGTCGATGAATTTCCTTCTATAAGGTCTCTGCACATCAGGCGGTTAACCGGACGGGCCTAGCCGACAACATGAAAATGAACTAGGGGCTCTTGGCTGTATCTTTGTTCGAGATCTCTGCAACACATGCCCTCCGCTTTTGTGAAGTTTCTCCGACGGCAATGCCGCCCATCTCGCCTCATTCCATCGCTTTGTCCTTTTTCCCTTTTTCTTTTACTTTTTTTTTTTTACTATACTGTGTTGATCCTGGGCCCGACAGCAACTGTTCATGCAGGGCGGCCCGGTCTGTGGCTTTTGGGGGTGCCCAGCAACTCCTTCCGAGTCAACAAGGTGTGGAAGTTGACTTCTCCAAAATAATCATGATACCATCCATCATGATGAGCTGGCAACGCTTTCCAACGCGGCCCAACTTTGGGGTTGAATCTACATTTCGGGCATCCTCCACAGTCCCTAAGACCTAAAACGATTAAACAATAAAAGCTATGACACTGACGCTGTGGCCATGGGCTCCGCTTTTTGGGCAGAGATCATCCACAGCTCTATACCCCTCATGCAGTCCCTCGTGGTTGTTCCAGAAGCCCGCCGTTCCGCCGATACGGTTCAAGTCCATGCGCACTAATCTTGCCAGATTATAATATTTTCCTTTTCATTTCCTTTTTTTTTTTGGTCCTAAAGTACTTGTGCTCAAGTGAGGCGAGAGAGGAAAAAAAAACGGAAAAAGCAAAATGAATGAAAATCAAAATGAAAATCGCATGCAAATCCAAAAGGAAAACTCAACGTGGGGTTCTCTGACTTGTTCACCTTTCCCATCCAATCCGCGTCCATCGTTCTTCCGAAAAAGGTGTCATTTATTCTGGATCCTAGAAGAATTAGCCAATATCTCTCTGTCTGCCATGGAGTGGGAACTAACTTGGGAGCCATCCGGTTTGCCCCTCTTCCTTCCTTAGCCCTTACATGCTGTCTAGCGTTTCTTCAAGGGCTGTTTTTTTGCTTAGTCGGCGTGCGCCGGGCCGTTCCAGGTTGCAGCCTCAAAATGATCCGCATACTCTTCGTCTACGCCCCTTGACTGGTGGATAACGAAGGGGGGGATTTGGCTGACGCTGTGCCATGTCCACATCGACATGCATAAGCCCCCTCCGTTAGGTTTGACGGTTAGGCTCCTGTTTGTTCACAGGGGGGAAATAAAAAGATTTTTTAAAAAAAATATACGGAAAAATGAAATACTAAAATAAAATAAAAAAATACAGGGAAGGAAAAAACCACGGGGTTTTCTTTCCTGGCCTTGAAGATATGGCCCACTGTTTATATGACTCCCCGCTCCCCATGTCGTCTTCGTTTGATGGTCATTGAAAAATACATTTAAGAAGATCTCCAGAGATTCCAAACGGGTCCAATTGAGCTCATCTGATCCTGTACTTTCTTCTATATCTTGTGGCTTCCCCTTGAAGTTTGTCTTCTTTTTTCTCTTTTGATCTTCATCCTCAATTGGGTTACTACCAGACATCGTGGACTCATATCCTCCCCACCTTCAATCCCACTTCATACCACCTCAATTGCAAAGCTTAACAGCTCCCCTGCCACCCTATCTCTCTACGAAGCAACCATGTCGTATACTACCAGCCCCCAAGGGAATAGTGTTGGCAGCCGGCCCAGCTGGCAGGACCAGCTCCAGGGTAAGCCATTGGATTGCGAGGTCAAGCCTCAGCAGCCCCGAATTCCTCCCAAATGACAAGAATAACCGATTAACTATCTCCAGATCATTGCACACGCAACAAGCAATCTCCTCCTGTCTTCAATATTGTCTCCGATCGGCGAGGTACTGACCCGATTTCCAATCCTCCTACTCCCCCTTGGTCTCCATCCACCGTCTTTCCAAGCTGCAGAACCAGATTATTTTATTTTCCCTCTTATTCCCTGATTCAATACGCACGAATACAGCGTGCCCCTATCCACCGCTATGTGTCTCGTGTGTGGGCATTGCAGGAAGGAGTGGAGTCTTGCAGAAAAAGACACAGAAAAATGCCCCCCCTTCACTTGTACACCGACTTTTAGTTTCCGAGCTTTTGACAGCAGAAAGCTAATTACTTTTCCCTCGGAATTGCAGGAGGTCGCACTGCTTGGTCCAGCACCGTCACCGTCCAGGGCCAGAACATCGCCGCTCGTTACTGGTATGACGGTCAGTTTATCAACAACGCCAAAGAGGATGCCGCCGAGGTTGCCCTCAAGACCCTGAACCAGCAGCCCCGGGCTGCTGCTACTGTCTACCAGGGTCAGCTATTCCCGCAGGCAACGCCGTCCGGCTATGGTCGCGGAGCTGGCGGGTTCTGATCGTATTCTCATATCTCAAATATTTCCTACTAGTCTTGGGCGGCATTCTCTTCCCTTCTTGTGTTTTTATCAATTTTTTGGGTTCATAATTCTAACGTTGATCCTGAACTCTGTTGCTCTTCATTTCTTGGTGTGGTGGGTGCTTGTTCTGGTTTGTTTTCCACCTGTTGTGAAGGGCCCTTGGGGATCCACAAGTCCTATCCGATCCAAGACCACATACATTTGTTGTCGTGCTGCTCTCTCACTTGCGTTTTTGACTGCAGGAAAAAAACCGCATATCTCCTTCACCGCACTGCTCTCCTCCCACTTCTTTCTCGTGTCGACACCCTTTTCTCGGTCACGCTGATGCATGCACTATCCCTCGTCGACAACCACGTCTTCCCGGTTTCTGCAAGTCTTGCCCACAATGGCTCACTACAATGCAGGGTCCATGTCATGGGCTCTGGTGGAATAATTCCCAACACCAGAAAGATGGACAAAATAAAATTAAAAAAACGAAAAATGCACCATGCAGCAACCCTGCCCCGGATGACCACTTCCAAATGCAGGTCACTACTTTGTTTCGCATTTGTGAAACCTCAGCACCAGTCGTGACACACCACACCCGAGATCCCGACGGCTCAGGTACATGATACGGTTTCCGGATGTCGCCAGGCCTCGTGTGATGCATCGCAAACCGGACTTCCTGTTGGCTCTTTTTAGCGTCCCTCCCCCCACATACATTTTTCTGTAAGCAAGATTATTTCTGTCTCCCCGATTTGGGTTCGTACAGATCGCCTTTTGAATTTGATTCGTCTCTGCTCTTGCTGCGCTGTCTGCCTTGAGACAAAACCCGAAGTTGGGCCAGATGCTTACTACCATTTGATGGGAGCCGAGGGGCTTGGGTCTCATGCATTGTGTCAAGTGACTGCTGCTTGTCCCTTCGAGAACATATGACTTGTCATGCTCGAGTGGGTTTGATGTCATACCCGAACAATTTTCAAT